ATTTTAAGGTAATTTAAATAGAGTTAGATTTATTTATATGTAATTTTTATTTTTATTATTTATACAAAATTATTATTATGTTTTTTGAAGTAAAAAAGGCATTTGTTTTTAAAAATAAGATTAAAAAACACATAAATTTCAATTATTTAAAAACAAAAGATGAATAACTAAAATTTTATACAAATAATATGTATAAAAATTATATATAAGTAAACTCTAACTTATTCAAATATCCTAAACACAACATTTTACTTGTGAATAATTCATAATTAATCATTCATTTATTTTGCATAATAGAGCTTTTTAGGCTCATTTTTTGTAGAGGTGAAACGATTGAGATAATCTTTTTATATTATTTTTTGATATAATTTTTATATGTTTTTAAATAAGTGAATATATTCAATATCGCGGGTTTTACATGAATAAAAAAAAATTAATTATTTAAATGATATATCAAGTTATATCAAAAAATAATATAAAAAACTTGTCTCAAAATCATTTTCTTTTTTAGTACAATAAACAATACATAATTACACTGATTAATCTAAAGATCCAAGATTTACGAACATTTAAAAAATCTTCAACCATTCGTTGTATAACTTCCACCGGTGGTTCCTCAAAATATTATCAACCCTTACCCAAATGATAGAGTTTTGATGCTATAGTGTCAACAGTAAGAGTTTGCTTCCCCAGACACGTGTTCGATTTCACAATGCCAATCCTTGTTTAGAAGGGTCCTACATTTAGTTCAGGCAAGTTTAGCCATCATCTAACCATGTAAAAATGCAAGGGGAACAAAAAGTCCTAATACATTTTGGGACTAGTTATATGTCGAGAATTATGAAATTTTTTAGTTTTGAACCCTCACACTTATAGATAAAATTGCTACATATCAAGTTCAACTACTAATAAGATGTGCACACAAACTTATTTTAAAATAAAGTGTTGTGATGTGCTATCAAGTGTATGGAAAAAGTTATATATAGTATCGAATGGAACTATGAATTATAGAGGTTTAGTTTAGTTGATTGTATCGGTTTATAAATTTTTTAAATTATTAATTAAAGTGTTTAAAAACATTAATTTATAAGTTAATTTAAGATTAATATCAATTGTTTTATCCAATAACAACTATAGTTATAAATTTTTTCTTAACAACTAAACTAAATAAGAGTCTATATTATTTAGTTTTCTTTAAACAAATTTATAACCTAACCCAAAAAAAAAAAAGGGGGGGCTTGTTATGTTTTTAGCCCAATAACAAAAACTAAGACTTAACCACTCTTTTTTCTTTTTTTTTTTAACAAGGAAAATAGTTAGAAGTTAAAAGTTAAAAGTTAGAAATTAGAAGTTAAGTTACTACTTTACTTTTGATAAAATTCGACCACTAATCAGAGATGCAATCCACCGGCAGTCCTGTTGAGCTGCAGTGACCACCAATAAATCACAACAGGGGAATGCAAAATTTAACCACTCTTAGTTTTTAAAGTTGAGTTTTTTTATAAATGTGAATCTTTTTTAAGTTTCTTTTAATCTTACATAAATCGTGATATCTGCATACTTATATACTATCTTACTGAAATCATGATATCTATATCGTGCATACTTGTGTATATACTATCTTGTACTTTACTACTTTACATTTAAATTATCCTCCATGTCATTGACAATTTCTATCCCTCTCAACGTGAAGAGGCCCGTTGCTTGCCAAAAAAGACCTGTCCAATAGTCGTCCTACTTGGGCTCTTGATGCCGATGGGTCAACAATCCTACTCAATTTGGATTGGGCCAACATCCCTTTCTTTTGATAGTTCAATCTCAATTTTTTTATTTTTTGGTGGAGGCCAATTCTTTGTTATAGATTATAGTAACGGACACACTAATAAAGGCCGAAACCAAAACCAACAATCAGAACCCATACTTTGAATTAAAACAAGGTTTAAGTACCATTTTGGTCCCTCAACTATTCACTTTAGTACCAAAATTGTCCCTCAGCTTTAAAAAGTACCAAAATTATCCTTAAACTTTC